GTTTTTGTTGTTATTATTAAAGTTGTTGTTGTTGTTGTTGTTGTCCTGGTTTGATCATTGTTGTTGTTGTAATGTGTAGTTTTAATGTAAATTAGTAACTGCTTAAACATACATACATGCTTTCAGGTATTTATATATTTTATTATTTATGCTTGTATTCTTTGTATCTTGCTCATTTATTGTTACATACATTTTTATTTCTTTGTTTCCCAAAATTCAATTGTTGTGCCGGTTCATTCATTATCGCCATTGTAGCGTATGGTTGATGTTCATATAAATTCTTAATAGCACGCCAGTCTTGTTTTCGTTTAAACATCTTTGTATTTCCCATTACTCAATGTTCATTCCTTCCTTCATTCATTCATTCATTCTCGTTCGTTCGTTCGTTCGTTCGTTCATTCGTTCGTTCGTTCGTTCGTTCATTCATTCATTCATTCATTCATTCATTCATTCATTCATTCATTCATTCATTCATTCATTCATTCATTCATTCATTCATTCATTCATTCATTCATTCCTTCCTTCATTCATTCATTCATCACTCATTTATTTATTTATTAATTCCTCTGTTGATAGCAGCAACAGCAGCAGCAGTAGTAGTAGTTGTTGTTGTTGTTGTAGTGGTTGTGGTAGTAGTAGCTACAGGCCACTGTACCCGGTGAAGGTTTTGGCTCTGGTCCGAAATTTGATTTTTTTGCCTTAGTTTTAGTAAAATGGTAGTTGTGGTAGATTAGCGGTAGATGCAGTAGTAGTAGTGGCAGCAGCAGCAGCGGCAGTAGTGGTGTTGTTAGTAGTAGTTTTAGTAGTAGTAGTATTGGCGCAGAAAGTAGCGTCATTTGGTTGTTCTTTTGGCAACATCTATTTAAAAACTTATAAAATATTCATGTTGGTGGTCAGCGTTATGATGAAGAAGGCTGTTGGAGTGAATAAATTTTCTGGGGGCTCGCGAACAAAAAATTTAGACAGAAAGGAAAAAATTAAGTCTGCGAAATAATAAAAAAAATTCTGTTATATTGTTGCAAATGCTACAAACAAACAACTATCATACCATTACTATTGGTAGTACTACCACTACTACTGCTACTACTACTGCCGCTATATCTACGACTTCCAATTTGACAGCTGCTACTACTGCTGCTAGAGCCGGTGCTTCTACCAGTTCTACTCGTGTTGTTGTTGCTACTGCTACTATTACAGCAACAATATTTTTGCAACTGCCTT